GCATTTATTCAAGTGTTAAAAGTTTATTTATTTGTATTTTTTATATTAAAATTTGACTTTACCATCTGGAAATTGAGAAAATGGTTTACTACATCCCATTGACCAAAAAACGACACAGTAAAAAACTAAAAGAGTACATTGTCAAATGAAAGTTTTGTTTGCTTAGTAAACCGAAAGGTTTATTAATGTTTTTTATATAGGATATAAAATTCAATACCAAAAAAAAAGTGAATTATACTATAAATTAAATGATACAATTTTTTTAAGAGGAAATTTGTAAAAATATTACAAAAAATTTGTGTATTTTGAAAACCAACCCATGTTTCTAAAAATTTGAAAACTAACTTTTTGGCAATTAAGATTATCAAATGTTATAATTAAATCAAATATATAAAGTCTTAAAAAAAATCAAATTGTGTTATCATTGGGTAATTACTTCTATTATAAAATAATTTACAAAATTAAAAATATCATTTATGTGATCGATCAAAAAATAAAATATGTAGATTATACATAAAATATACAATCATAAAAAATTACAAATCTGACAAAATTAAGAATGGTGAATTGCATAAAATTTATAGTTCGCGTTCAAGTTATATAATGTTTAATTCATTTGATTTAGTTTTTCATAAATAGTTGATTATAGAAAAATTAAGTTGGCAATTTACGGAAGTTCTTATATTTTGCACTATAATAATTGATTGAAAGATTCATTTTAACGATATAGTATAAAACATTGTCTTATGTTATTTACATGTGTTGAGAGGGAGTTATATATTACTATCTTAAGTTGTACATTACTATCTCAATTTGAAGTATAACATTGTTATAGTTTGCTATAAAATTATACTTCTATTTTACCGGTTTGATTGAAATTCGATTTACTGTTTATATTATATTTTAATATTTTGCAGTTAATTAAAGCAACAACAGACAATGGCGATTTAATTGGTGTAATTTGGCTACATTTAGAGTAGCAACTGTCCACAATTTATCCAATTTTGTTTTAAAATATACTTTTTGTAATTATAAATTATCAAATTTTATGGAGATATTATTGTTTTTTATTTTTAAAAAGGTTAGCTTTCAAAAACTTGAAAACATGGGTTAGTTTTCAATACATAATTTTTTTGAATTATCAAACTAAACCTCCTTTTTTAATATTATAGAACCGTTCGTCGTGGTATAATATGTTAATGGTAAAATTTTCTATCAAAACATAACATATATATATATATATCATTTTGTCGTAAATCTTTATATTGCGAGAAACTGTCTAATTTTAACTGTTTTTCAGTTCTTAATAAATTAACTTTTTTTAGTAAGATATTA